AGCTTCAGAGTAAAAATGATAGGATAGTTGCAAGCATCATCCTCTACTGCCCCACCTTCCCTAAGACAATGAAAAGGCAAAGGAAAATGTGGTGTAATAAGTGGAGCTAAAGGAAAGAAGAAATGTAACCAACCAGCATTTCAGCCTATACCAGGACTAATAGCAGCTTCAAAATAGCCATCAGTCAGTCGTTCACACGCTCATAGCTTCGAAATCTGAAGTGTCAGTGGTAAAAACATTGCCTTCATTTACAGGAAAAGTTATTTTTTCAAATTTCTATGGACTCTGTGATTGGCTATGTGAGGATGGACACACAAGCCATTTCCCTATGAGATGCTCGATCACCTGTCTCCTTGGGTAACTAACTAGAAGCTCCTAAGGTGGCACTTTCTTTTTTTCTTTTACGATTTTATTGGGGAATTGGGGAAGGGGAACAGCCAAGTTGTTGTCCTTCAATCTTAGTTGTGGAGGGCACAGCTAGCTCAGCACTAAGTCCAGTCGCCATCCAGCCACCCGTCGGCAGCTCAGCTCAAGGTGCCGTGTTCAATCTTAGTTGCAAGTGGGCACAGCCACCATCCCATGTGGGAGTGGAACCAGCAACTTGTTAGGAGCACGTGCTCTCACCAGCTGAGCCATCCTGCCACCTATTGGCAGCTCAGCTCAGGCACAGCTCACTGGCCCATGTGGGAATCGAACCGGCAACCCTGTTGCTCAGAGCTTGCGTTCTTAACCAACTGAGCCACTCGGTCGGCCCTAAGGTAGCACTTTCAACCCCTGTAGTTCTCCACACTCACGTGATGTGGGAGCAGCTGGCATCTCAACTGTGTCCAACACAAAGCCCTCTGCTCATGGCTGTCTTCCTGCCAGAAGACAAATGTGTCAAGGGAGAGGAGATGGTAGCCCCCATTTCGATCCTTTGGAGTTAATTCTCTGGAGGAGTACCCAAGGAAAGGCCAGTTCCTTATCATTGTACATCGTGTTTTCCTGTTGAAAACAAATGTTACTTATGAGCCACAGTCAAAGCACACTCAAGAAGTGGAAGCTATGCAGTAAGATGGGTTATTTGGTCTGTAAATCGAGAAAACATAATCCCAATTTTGAATAAAATCAGTTGATAGCTAACTCTGCATGAGCGCAGGATCACAAAGCCAAGAAAACGTAAACCAAATCAGACGAAAAGGGCCGAGGAGATCTTGCTATTGAGTCTATCTGGGAGCTCACACGGCTCAACCCTATCAACCCATTATCTTTGTTTCGCATATTTCTGAGTTTATTTTTGTTTTTCAAGGTTCAGCCCTTAAAGTTTCTTTCCTCTTCGCCGGGGACAGGGATCCAGAATTCTTCCAAACGGCAACACCTCCAGGTTCTCTTTTACTAGCTTGTACAATTAATTTTCTATTTCAGTTCAGTTTTTTTCTTCTAGTTCCTAACCTGTTCAAGTGCGTCCCCCTTAAAGAAAACCTGGGAAACAAGTCCAAATTTACAAAACAAACTAGGGCTGGTCATTCACAGTAGATAGAAAATACCATTTTCTGAAGTCATTTACCAGTGTTCTTTAAAACTGAAAACTTACCCCAGAAACTTGGTGAGATCCACCAGACCTTCATTATTTCAGCATCATCTCAAAGGAAAACACCCAAAGGCCCTTCTACAGTGTGTATCATTTTCCATGTTTGGAAGCCTGAATAAAACTCCCCTTTTTGAGGAAAACATATAACAACTGCAAAGTACATAAACATTTGAAAAGTTGGCTTCAAAAGCAGTTTTTGCAAACAAAAGAGACATCTTGGAGTGTCCATATATAACTTTTATTAAGAAAATGAACAAAATACATTCTTTCTCCATATGTACATTACATACAACATAGTTCTACAATTGCGACTGTTCAGCAATCACTATTTATTCACAAAGCAGTGTTGGTAACACATTCATCAAATCCGGGATCAGAAAACCACTTGTACTTAGAAAAACAACCCACAAAACCCTAAGATGCCCATACAGACTGAGCAACAGTAGGCTAAACCAGAGAGGATCATGATGGGAATGGGGAACATGGCAGAATACACTCAACAGAGCTCAACAATGCCTTAGAACAACAACCACGTGAGAAGAGACCTGATGTCCCCCAAAGCACTTCTGTTTAAAGGCTCCAACTACGGCTCGTGCCAGCTGTTCCCAAGTTCCCTCATGATTTCCATTGCTGACTTAGGTACCTCGGGATGCAGCCCTCACCCCCACGATGCCACAGAAGAGGGTGAACAAAGGAGTAGAAGCCTGAAAGGTGGCAGTTATCTCCTTCACACACTAAGAAAAGGAAGTCTCACGAAATAGGAAACTTGGGAATCTTAGCTGGTGAGCAGAGAAGCACATTTTTTTGGAGAGGCATTTGCTTAAGCATGATCAGGAGTCCTTGAAACAAGTGTTCCCCTCTTTACCTTTATGTCCATTTTGTCTCCTTTGCTTTGGTTTTCTCTGCTTTTCTTTTGGCCTCTGAAAAGTGCAGCATCCTTTTGGGGTGTGGGTTGAATTATGGTCATATTAAAAAAATACATCTAAACAGAAAGCTCTTTGTGGGCATGAATATGCTCGAAACATCCGTAACGGTGTATGAAGGCCTTAAAATGCAAATGAGATGAAACGTCCAGTGACCTGAATGGGGCAGCTCCCTATAGCTTCTGGGTAACATCTTACATCCATAATTCAGGCTTCCAAGGTACACGTCAACCGAATTATTTCCAGACTGCCTATCTCGGGAAAGGCAATGGTTAAAGGAATGTAAGTAAGGGTAGGGACAACGCTTACACCCCGGTCCTCCACACGTGCGGCTAAAGACTGAGAATGGTTGTGTTCATTTTTTTTTTAAATATCTTTTCTGGCCTTTACCATATTGGGTAACAGAAGTCAGGAAAAATGAGTTAATAGTGGTTTTCCTTTTTTACTATTAGTTATTTCCTAAATGCCTACAATAAACATTTTTATAATCACCAAAATCAATAAATATTATTTAAAAGTCTCATAAGATAAACACTCTCCAAACTTTCAGATGAGCTGGCGGCTGTAATGGCATGTTTCCAGTCTCGGCGATGCTATAACAGAGAAGGAGCTATCCACAGCGTCTGTCAGCTGCTTTACCAGGAAGGCGATTCTGTTGGCTATGGGTGGAGCTGTATCATCCTTCTCAGTCTAATTTCCAGTCCAACTTTGGTTTTGAGGATCTACCTCTATCTGAAGGGAATCTCAATTTCTGGCCATTGAGTACTTCTAATTTATAAAAGAGTTGACTTAAAAATAAAAAGCTAACATCTTTCCCAAGCTGCTTATATACACATAGGCCATTTTGAAAGATGGAATAATGTTGGTTACCAAGGCCAAGACACGGAAAGTAGGTCCTCACCTCAGCTTTCCTACACTCGTTTGAGGATGCAGACTCAGCTGTACATAGGTTTTAAAGTGGTGACAGGGAAGAAAAACATATACAGCTGACCCTTGAACACGTGGGGGTTTAGGGGCCCTGACCTCCTGAGCAGTCGAAAATCTGAGTCTAACTTCTGACTCCCCNATATATATATATATACATATTTTTCAACAATGTAAATAAAACAGCCACGTAGTAATCTACCCTGTACTTACGGCTTTCAGTGAATATACTTTGGAAAAACATTCGTTAGCTAAGAGAGATGGTTTTTTTTTTTCTCTCTCCTCTGAACAGGAATGTAAATGTCTATTTTACTAGAAATGACAAGTTTTTTTGTTTGATTTTTCTTTAATGAAAAATGAAATAAGATAGGCTGATGACAAAGTATTTGTCTTACGTATCGGGCATTTTTATTTCTAAATAGGATCCTTATCCCCTCCCCAGCGAAGTCCCAGCCATTATTAGTAAGGGGCACAGTCAATATGCATTGGTTGGAAAGGGACATTGTCTTCACAGAGAGAGGGTTTTAGAGACCGCGTCCAACTTTCTTTCTTTTTCTATTTTTATTTTTTTAAGAAAAAACCTGAAGCCCAGAAAGATAAAGTGACTCTGCCAAAATGACATGGCTAGTGACAGAAATGGGATTAAAACTTGGCTTGGAAGGTTGTCCCATGTCGTGTGCCTCAGAGAATCAAGAAATTAAGGACTGCTAATTAAGGGCAGGCACCCCAGAATGACACAAAGGACAGACTTCCCTTCTCAGATCTTATCCTGCAGCAAGGTTAGGCAGGGCATGAAGACAAGAAGAAGAATCTTACCCACCTTCTACACTTCCTCTGAGTTACTTAGGCCTGAGACTGAAATGAACAATTCTTTTTCTGTCAAGGAAACAGTTTGAGTGAGCTTTTACATATGGATCTGCTACCAGCAGATCAAAGGGAATGACAGGGGACAGACAGCAGAGGGGCAGGAGGAAAACAAAGGCCCATCTTTCATCACTGTCACTAACTGATGCA